AATCCCCGGTTTGCCAGGGGAGGAGTTTGGTCACCGTTCTTTACAGCTCGTTGGACTGTAAATGCTGATATACCTGGAAAGCACATCCTGTGGCTGTCTGTTGAGAGACGGACCATGAGCACAGTGCTGGGGCTCTCTGAAACTTAGGCCCTACCCCAGCCTACTGAGTCAGTCTGTATCTGAGGACAGTCTCAAGTGACACAGCGGACACATGACATTTGAAAAGCACCAGGCAGGCCGATGGTGGCGCACACCTTTGATCCCAACACTTGGGAGCCAGAGACAGGTGGATCTTTGTGAGTTTGAGGCCAGCCTAAAGATATATCTATAAATCTATGTTTATATCTGTCTATATCTATCTGTCTGTCTGTCTGTCTGTCTGTCTGTCTGTCTGTCTATCTGCTCTTTTCCAGAAAATTCCAAACAAGCTAGGCTAGTATAATACAAAAGGTACCCACTGTGTAAGTCGTGCTGGCCGCCATTTCCTCTTCTAACCCCAGGTACCAGCTCATTTTATCGAGAAACTTTTCTATATACCACTTTTAAATAACCAAATTCCACTACCACATTTTCCAAAGTGACCAATAATTCCTTGATATCTAGTACTGATCACATTGCAATTTTTTTTTTTACAATTTCGAAATGACATTTAAAATTAGTATGCTAAGAACAAGGGTTCAAGTAAAGGCCATTTAGGATTATTCTTTCTGTTTTCTAGACTTCTCTTAATTTATGTGTTTCTCAGAAACCTTTGTTGCCCTTGGGATTTATTTGTGGAGTAAATCAGTTGTGACTGTGGCGTACCTACGGTTTGGATTTTGTTCACTGCGCTCCAGGGTGTTATAGTAACGTTTGCTTTCCTCCTATTTTCTGCATATTATTCAACCTGATAAGGACAAAAAAAATCAAACCTGTCAAGTTCTAACAACACCTCATGGGTTGGAGTGAGGGCAGTGCTGGGTTCATGAAGGGGTCACTGTGTGTTAAGTTACTTAGTTCTAGCTAAACCAGGACCCCGGTTAGAGGCTGAGGTTGTTGGCATGGGTCAGGGCGGTGCGGAAATGGCATGGGCTCTTTGCCTTACTTCTCTGAGCCTCTGATGCAGAGTGACTGTGGTGAAGCTGTAGGACCTGAAGTTCCCGCTTTCAGGCCTTTCCTGAGGAGGCTGTAGTACAACAGGTCCTTTCTGGATAGTTTCATCCTAGTACACAGATCTGTTAATAAATCTGGCCCACTCTTCTCTTCCTGTGTTAAGTAGCTTCTAGAAAGTCCCTGAAAGGCCATAGGTTTCTGTGGAGAGATCTAGAAACTAGAGAGAATTCCCCTTGCCCTTCCCTCCCAAGGCAGCCATAAAAGTTAGCTGGCTGCCCTCTGGAACCTGTATCATAAGAGCTTCATTTCAGAGGAGCCCCACCCTGCTCTGGGTGAAGGAATGAAGCCCAGGCATTGAATCTGAGTAGACAGGCTCTGCTAAGTCCCCCAGATTGTTACCGTTGGATCAGACTTGTGTTCTTTCAGTGATAGTTCTCTGCACAACTGTCCATGAAAATACAGTTTCCGCCAGGCTGTGGTGGTGCATGCCTTTAGTCCCAGCACTCGAGAGGCAGAGGCAGGCAGATCTCTTGAGTTCTAGGCCAGCCTGGTCTACAGGATGAGTTCCAGGACAGCCAGGGCTACACAGAGAAACCCTATCTCAAGCAAAACAAAACAAAACAAAAAACCAGTTTCTAGGGCTGGAGAGATGGCTCAGTGGTTAAGAGTATCTGCTGCTTCTGCGGAAGACCCTGATTGGTTCCAGCACTACTTTTACTGTCCGTGTACATGCGTGATGTGAGTATGGGGCCATGTCAGGGGGCTGTGTGGAGGCCAAAGGACAGCCTTGTGGAGTTGGTTCTTTCTTTCCACCCTTGTGTTGGACTCAAGTGTCATTGCCTGCTGAGACATCTCTCTGGCCCCTGTGTTGCATAAAATCTACATTCAAAACATTACTGTGTACTCTTCCCTTGTTGCTCTATCCTGTTCTAGGGTCTTGGCTGTGATGTGTGAGGTAGAGACCTCTTCCCTCTTCCCTCTGAGATACCATTTAAACTTTACAATGAATGGTTTTCACAGTGGGCTATTGACATTATGTAGGCATTTGTGGCTCAGGGCCTAACGTTTTAATAGCCCCAAGCTGCTTTTTTTTTTTTTTTTGCAAATTAGTTAATTTTATATGCATTGGTGTTTTGTCTGTATGCATGTCTATGTGAGGATGTCGAATCCCCTGGGACTGGAGTTGCAGATGGTTGTAACGTGCCATATGGGTGCTGGGAATTGATCCCAGGTCCTCTATAAAAGGAGCCAGTGCTCTTAGCCACTAAGCAATCATCTTTCCAGCCTCCCAAGCTGCTTTTTTTTTTTTTTTTTTTTTTTTTTTTTGGTTTTTCGAGACAGGGTTTCTCTGTGGCTTTGGAGCCTGTCCTGGCACTAGCTCTGTAGACCAGGCTGGCCTCGAACTCACAGAGATCCGCCTGCCTCTGCCTCCCGAGTGCTGGGATTAAAGGCGTGCGCCACCAAGCTGCTTTTTAAGTGGAAAAAAAAGTCATCAGTAAAATAGGTGATAGGTTTGGTGTTTTGGCACCTCTGCTTGCTAGATTCACATCCCCTGTGGAGTCTGATGGTCAGGCTTCCTGTACTTTGTGTACTGCGTCCTGGACCTGAGAGGGCTTCATACTCTGTTCCCACTCAGAATTGGTAGTTTCATGGTATCCAGGAATTAGATTAGTGCCAAAGTCAAAACATGGTTTCAGTTGCCTCTACAATCCACTTTTTAAAAATGTCCCCAGGAGACCCTTGGAACTTCCCCAGCGTAGAACTTTAAGGACTTAGGTTTCTGCTTCTCCTTGACATTTGTGTGTTAACGATATCCTAACTCTTGTCTGCTCACTAGGTCCAGTTCTAGGCATTCTTGCTGTCGGTGGCATGGATCAATGTGGCTGTGAACTACCCAGTGAGGTCCCAGAGGGATTGTATGCTAACGGGGGGTTGATTCTGCCTGAGACAAGTCAGGGGCCATGTCTGCCTTGATTGTGAAGGCAAAGTGCATTCTGCTTCTTTCACTGAGAGAAAAGGGTAATAAAAGCATTTCTAGATCATTAGCCACAAATTGGGTGCCAGGGTGTCTCCTTGAGCGTTCCACCATAGCAACCACACTGAGAGAAACCCACAGTGATAAATATGCAGCCTCATTTGACCACCACTTCCCATGTCCTGCTGGGATTTCCAGATAGCCACATCCAGGGAAAGCAGATCCTATAGGTCAGCCTGTGGGACTCAGGAGAGGACCAGGATTGTGGGGGAGGTTGCAAGCAGAAGCCACCCACAGTGCTGGCACAGTCTATCGCAACCAACTGATAAAGGAAACAACACGCACACACCCTGCTCTGATGTTAAGGGCTCCTTTCTCAGATGTACAGGAGAGTCATGGCACCTGGTTGGGGGAAGCTCTCTGGGTCCCAGGATGCACGGGTTCACATGCCCTGGAGCAGGGGTCACAGGATGCATGGGTTCACATGTTCTGGAGCAGGGGTCACATGTAGGAGCACTCTAGGATGTGAGATACTGGGAGACTCTAGTGTCCTCTTTTGATTCATCATAATTTCAACAGTCTCGTTAGTGGATAGAACTTTGACCATAAAAGATGATTCTGCTTTTGAGTCAGGCCCAAGTACGTTCTTCCTTTTGGAATTTAGCAGAAGGAATTGGTTATTGAGACAATATGGATGCTTGGAATGGGGAAGCATGTTTGTCCGTCAGCACTGAGAATTGAGAGGGGCTGCAATTCTAGGCCAGTCTGGGCTATGTAAGGAGACTCTGTCAGGAATAAACAAAACAAAACAAAATTAGCACCCATGGATGATTTTTATGGACGTCACACTCAAAGAAATAAGTAAACTGTTCAAAGACAAACACTAAAGAATTCCATCTACATTTGCCTGTTGTGGGTATGTCAAGCAGTGAGCTGAACTTGCAATAGTGTTCACTGATGTCAAAAGGTCACCCACCGATCAGACACTCACAGTCCTGAGTCAAGGTTTGGGGGTTTCCATAGGTGTGAGTGACCTTTAAGTTCCCAAGAGACAACTTAGACAATGGTCACCGCGCTCACACATCAGAAGTGCCCTCTGTTGTACAACTAATAGGCTATGTGATTCTAAAGTTGGTAATTCAGGACTGGAGACGTGGCTCAGTGGTTAAGAGCATTGGCTGTTCTTCCAAGGAACTCTGATTGGATTCTCAGCAGCCACCTGGCAACCAACAACCCATGTGTAGCTGCAGCTCCCAGGCATCTGTCCACCCCTTCTGGCCTCTGTGTGCACCTACACTCATGGTCACTCCACCACCATAATTAAAAAATAAAATATTTTTTCAAATCTTGAGCATTCACAAAGTTTATTTCCAAATATGCTTCTCTCCCAACACTTAGCCGAGGATGTCTGCCTTCTGAAATGAATTGGAGCCCAAAGCAGAGGGGAGACATGGAATTCAAGAAACAGGGAATTAAGTTAGGAACTGAAAGGGAAATCACAGGCATTAATATGTCACAGGCTTAAAAAAACTGTAAGATCAAATTAAAACAGGAAGGGAAAGCCCTCTTTTTTTTTTTTTTTTTCCGAGACAAGGTTTCTCTGTAGCTTTGGAGCCTGTCCTGGAACTAGCTCTTATAGCCCAGCTGGCCTCGAACTCACAGAGATCTGCCTGCCTCTGCCTCCCTGAATGCTGGGATTAAAGGTGTGTGACACCAGCACCCAGCTAAAAGAAATTTGAAACTGTGTGGAAAACATTTTGTATACAAAATTCCAATATAAATATAAAACTAAATAACCCACTACACACACACACACACACACACACACACACGTATGTGTATGTATAGACTTAAGGTGCCACCAGAACCACTGACTTGTTTAATTACCCCTTGCGGGGAACAACTCCTAACAGTTTTTCTTACTTTGTTTCAGAGACAAGAGTATGTCCACCGCTCTTCTGGACCCTGTGCTGGCACACGCTCCCAGCCCTAACCTCTGTGACTTAAATTTTTGGTTGTGAGCCTAGCCTCTAACAACTGAGCCATCCCTCCAGGCCCTAGCCTCTGTGACTTAAGCGAACTATAAGGTGCCTGGGGATGAATTCAGAGAAAGCCACTAAGATGACTAATAGCTCAAAACAGTCACCTTTGGGGAACAGGAATGAGTCAGCCGGGACAAAAGATGTCTAGAGGGTGACTGAACAAGGATTCCTTATACAAAGGACTGGAAGGACACAGAGGCAGGGAAATGGAAGCCACTGGTCCAGTCCTGGGAGGCCTACCACGTTAGACAACCAGGCTGCCTCTGAGTTGCAAGCCCAACCCTGGTTTTGTTTTCTGATACAACCTCACTAAGTAGCCTAGGCTGGTCTTGAACTGACTATGTGGCCCAAGCTGGCCTCTAACTTGTTATCTCCTTGACTCCCAAATGCCAATATTTTTAGTTCTATACGGCCACACCTGGCTTTGTGGAATCCCTTTTGAATGCTGAGTATCCACCATGCTCCCCGTGTATGCAGGAGGGAAGAAGGCAAATTCAGGAAAGGATGGGCTGGGCTGATGACAAGAGCCACAGGTGGTGGGGTGGGTGTAGGCCTTTCTGTGTTCGCGCTCCTCTCAGTGCGATGTTCTCTCTTCCCATTGATGTGTTTGCAACTGACTGATAATCGAATTCTTTTTGAAATTCCATAATCCAGTACTCTCTTCTGTACTCTGTCAAAATTATTCTCTCAAGTTGCCACAGTGAGATTTTCTATTTCATGTCAAGCATTTTTGGAATCATAAAAATGTTATTCTTCGTAGACGTATATGAATTCTGGAAAGTAGTTCTGCAGCGACTCACATCTGGACTCGGGATGGAAGAGAAGGAGATATAAAATGAAAGGAATTCATCAGCTTCAATGAAATACTTGGGGATGTTATGTATGAATTAAGTTACAAATGAGGTTGAATGAAAGTTGTTTTTTTTTAAGTTCCTTTTTATAAACTAAAAGATGAGCATTAAAACAAAATCCTTGTCAGGCATGGTTGAGCACACGTGCAATCACAGTGCTTGGGAGGAAGAAGTAAGAGGAACAGGGATTTAAACACAATCTGGGATATTCGAGACCCCCAGCTTGAAAATCCTAAAAATAAATAAATAAAATGTCATTTTAGAAAATTGAACATTTTTGTTGTTGTTGTTGTTGTTGTTGTTTTTTCAAGACAGTGTTTCTCTATGTAGCCCTGGCTGTTGTGGAACTCACAGAGATCCGCCTGTCTGTGTCTCCTGAGTACTGGGATCAAAGACGTGCACTATCACTTGGCCAAAAGTTGGACGCGTTGATTATGAAACCTCTCTCTCTTACCTTAGGTCTGGCCACCTAGCCTACGCTGGCCTTGACTCATGATCTCCCTGCCTCAGCTACTGAGTCCTGGGATTCCAGGCATGTGCTATAAATACCTGGCATAAACAACTCTTATTAGTCCTTTTTATTATTCTGTTATTTCTAAGCAGGAGGCAGCAACATCCATGCCCATTTCAAGCAGCTGGTATGGTGGCAATAAGCCTCAATCAGACCACACAAGCCTCCTGCCTCTGTGAGATACTCAGAGAGCAACCCTACTATTCTTTCAACTGAATCTTGCAGAGGGCACTATCACCCAGTGCCCGGTGAAAATCCTACATATCATGACCTCCAGTCACCTTTGCAAATTCTGAGTCATGTTTTACTGATACCTTATGACCATAACACCAGTTATGACCATATAAGAACTATTTTTTTTAGTAGAAAAACTGGCTATTCATTTTGTGGCACACTCCTTTAATCCTGGCAGAGGCAGGCAGATTACTGTGAGTTTGAGGCCAGCCTGGTCTATAGAGTGAGTTCTAGGACAACCAAGGTTACACAGAGAAAGCCTGCCTTGGAAAACCAAAAGAAATTAAGAAAAATCTGTTACCCAAATAATAGACCATGATGAACTAAAAAGAGACAAATTTCATATTTTTATTACAAACATAAAAATGAACTTTGCTATGGCCAACGCATGTTAGATAAAAAAGAAAAGGCGAACTATAAATTTATAGAAAAATTTAAGATAAAAATAGAAAACTTTCAAAAAGAACATTAGGAAGCTAATGTTCAAGGACAGTAGAGGAGCCAGCAAAATTACAGGCATGTAAATTACAAAACCAGAAAGTGCAGATTGTTAAGAAATATGTAAAATTGCTATCCTGAGCAAGCAAAGAAAAGCAAGGTGAAACGGGAGATGGTTTTAAAAGTCTCCTGCTAACAAATATTTGAAAACAATACCCTGTTAAAGAGAAGTGAGGGAAGGAAAGGACCTTTGCTCCTGTCTGGGGGAGAATGTCCAGGTTTTTTCCAGATGCTATGAGCCCTTGCCTTATACTGAAGAGAGGGGACATGTTCGGACTGTCATCACGAGCGTGAGGCAATGGTTGGAAGGCTAGAGTTGACATTAAAGTTGTTTGTTTTGAGCCAGGATCTTTACTGTGTAGCCCTGACTGCTCTGGAGCTTAATGTGTAGACCAGGTTGCCTTGAACTCCCAGAATTGTGATGGTGTATGATTTTAATAACAGCCCTTGGGAGGCAGAAGTAGGAGGATCTCTGTGAACTCAATGCCCCGCTCTTCATAGTGAGGTCCAGGACAGCCAGGGCTATGTAGATATGTAGAGAGAACCTGTTCCAACATAACAAAACAACATCAAAAAAGAGTTCAAAGCAAGTTTGAGCCCCTCTCAGGTTATAGAAGATCCTGACCTAAATAAATAAATTAGAAAGAAAACCCTTCCCGAAGGCAGCTCTGACCTGAATGGAGGTATGTTACTCTGCACCCATTTATGACTTCCTCCCCTATGACAGAAAATTCAGAAAGAATTAAGCATCAACTTGCCATATGCCAAGGACGCCTCTGAACGTGTTACAAAGATATGTTACACTCAAGAGAGACTGGCTCAGTGGGTAAAGGTGCCTGATGCCCTTAGTTCAATCCCCAGGACTTAGGTTATCTTCTGACCTCCACATGTGTGTCTCCACATATGCACACACAAAAAGTAAATAAATAAATGATTGGAAAAAAATTCTAACTGAGAACACAGACACGAGAACCTGGAAGCACGATGCTCAGTGGTTAGGAGCGCTCGCTGCTCTTGCAGAGGGACCAGGTTTAATTCCCTGAACCCACGTGGCCGGCTTGTAACTGTCTGTATCTCCAATTTTAGGGCACTTGATGCCTCTTGTGCCCATGGGTTCCTGCATGCACGTGATGCACATATATACACTAAGGTGCACACCTATACACTAAGGTGCACACCTGTACACATAAAAATTAAATAAATGCACACTATAAAAAGAACGACGGGCCGGGCGGTGGTGGCGCGCGCCTTTAATCCCAGCACTGGGGAGGCAGAGGCAGGCGGATCTCTGGGAGTTCGAGGCCAGCCTGTTCTACAAGAGCTAGTTCCGGGACAGGCACCAAAGCTACAGAGAAACCCTGTCTTGAAAAACCAAAAAAAAAAAAAAAAAAGTGACGATTCACTCTGGTACATACAGATATATAGTGACATGTAAAAGGCAGAGGCGACATAGAAGGTACAACTCGTTTTCCTTGCAAGATATGTCTTTCTCGGGACTTCTAACACTCCTGCAGATCTTGAGGGAGGGAGAAAGACATGCCAGGAGAAGAATGAAGAACATCTGTAGCCTGACTCCTAATCCCTTGCCAAAACTTGGGCTCCCCTGAATGATAACGGGAGCTGCTGTAAGGACAGGAACAACAGTTGTAAACAGACCATCCAATGCACTACAAGTCACGTGATCTCTCCTGGCCTAAAGAGCAACTGTGGGCAAAGGTGGAGGCTAATGGAAGCACCCTGGAAGGCAATCAACTTCAGGACTTTGGAATGAGTGTGGAGGTGAACAGGGAGAGAGATGGTGCAGGAGTGGGGGGTGGGGCTGCAATGAGAACTGTGTTTTTTCAGCAAGGAACGCCATGACCAGATCTGCATCCGGGGACAATGGCGGGGCAAGCATGTAGGGAAAGGACAAGAGGAGCACAGCCTGGAGGAGAAGTGGGGCAGAGGCTGGTGCAGTGAGGTGCTGGGGAGGCACGAGGTCCTGATCTCAAGCAGTATGAAGGGTGGGGGGTGAATCGGGAATCACGGACAGCCAGGGGAGACAGGGCTGGGAGGTCAAAGGAGAAACAGATGGTGCCTGTTTCCAGCTTGGGTGCCTGGTGGCTTCTGCCCAACTCCCCCCCAAGGTGCTCTAAGTAAAGAATGACCTCAGCCGCTCGGCTGTCTCAGAGAGTCCACAGTGAGGAAGACTCTTACAGGAAGCAAGTGGCCAGCTCAGCGGCTGAACCACAAAACCCAAGGAGTGAGCACTATTGGTGAAGAAGGGGTGAAGGTACCTCTCTGGGAGCCGGAAGGTCCAGTATCATGCAGTAAGGAGGCAGATAGGCCGGGCATCAGGCTCCCAGAGCCTGGTTTATGCTACACACAGGCAACCTCATGCATTGCTTCTTCTTTAGCTTTGAGTCACGACCCTGACGGCGACAGGTGATCTGGGAAAAAACGGGAAGGACATGAAAGACAGGGGGCAGAACAGGGATTCTGTAGGAAAGCCAAAGCAGTGAAAGTGATGGGTTCTTTGGGTGCGCAGAGAATGAGCAAACAAATCCACTACTTGGCATTCTGTCTTATCCGTAAGTATGTGTGGGGGGGGGTATTCACTACTGTTTTCTGATTGTTGCTTTTTGTTGTGGAAGTACATATACCTCGTGATGGTTACCATTTTGGCTATTTGCAGATACATGATTCATTGGTTTTGACTGGGTATGGTCACCCATGCCTTTAATCCCAGCACTTGGGAGGCAGAGGCAGGTGGATCTCTGTGGGCCAGAGACCAGACTGATCTACAGAGTGAGTTCCAGGACAGTTAGGCAGGGCTATGCAGAGAAAACCAGTCTCAAAACAACAACAACAACAACAAACAAGCAAACATAGCAAGAGAAAATATCTGTGGGGCTGAAGAGATGGCTCAGTGGTTAAGAGCATTGCCTGCTCTTCCAAAGGTCCAGAGTTCAATTCCCAGCAACCACATGGTGGCTCACAACCATCTGTAATGAGGTCTGGTGCCCTCTTCTGGCCCGCAGGCATACACACAGACAGAATATTGTATACATAATAAATAAATAAATATTTTTTAAAAAAAGAAGGAAAATATCTGTGATTCAGTGGTTTTAAACGTATCCACTGTGTTTTGTAACTGTCACCTCGGTAGTCACTTGGAATGTTTTCATCTAGAATGCCTCCCCCAGGGCAGATGCTGAAGGCTGGGTCCCTATCCTTTGGCGCCCTTGGGAGGTGATGGAAACTTGAAGAAGTGACAGTGGAAAAGAGTTATCTTTCTGGGGCTGGGTCCTTCAAGGGAGTATTGGATGTTTCTCTTTGATTCTCCACTGCAGTGAACTGTCTTGATCTCCTCTGCCACATGTTGCCATGGTCTACCGTGTGCCACCACAGGCCCAAAGCAATGAGGGATCAGCTGATGAAATCTCTGGAACTGTGACGCAAAAGAAACTTTTCTTCTTTATAAGAGAACTAGCTCATGTATTTATGTCATAGTGAAGGAACACTCACATAAGTCGTAACCTTTAAACGCTTTATGACTAGCTAAATGAATACATTTTCAATATGAAGTGCTAAAGGAAAGCTTCCTTTACTCTGCTCCCCAGACAGTCAATCGTTCACATCTGAATCCATACTGTTCAACATTCTATCTAGATCCAAGTTTGCATCTATCACCATCAATGCTATCATGAACGTTGTAGAAGCTAGANTGCAAATAATATCTACTTCATTAATAAAAACGGCATAAAAACAATATTCACAAGATTATTTTATTTATTTGTTTGTTATGTACACAGTGTTCTTCTTGCATGTGTGTGTGCATGTCAGAAGAGGGCACCAGATCTCATTACAGATGATTGTGAGCCAACGTGGCTGCTGGGAATTGAACTCAGGACCACTGGAAGTCAGTGCTCTTAACCTGAGTCATCTCTC